TGAACCCTGTGTGAGTCTCAGTGATTAACACTGAACCCTGTGGGAGTCTCAGTGATTAACACTGAACCCTATGGGAGTTTCAGTGATTAACACTGAACCCTGTGGGAGTCTCAGTGATTAACATGGAGCCCTATGGGAGTCTCAGTGATTAACACTGAACCCTATGGGAGTCTCAGTGATTAACACTGAACCCTGTGGGAGTCTCAGTGATTAACACTGAACCCTATGGGAGTCTCAGTGATTAACACTGAACCCTATGGGAGTGAGTCTCAGTGATTAACACTGAACCCTGTGGGAGTCTCAGTGATTAACACTGAACCCTATTGGAGTCTCAGTGATTAACACTGAACCCTATGTGAGTGAGTCTCAGTGATTAACACTGAACTCTGTGGGAGTCTCAGTGATTAACACTGAACCCTATGGGAGTCTCAGTGATTAACACTGAACCCTGTGGGAGTCTCAATAATTAACACTGAACCCTGTGGCAGTCTCAGTGATTAACACTGAACGCTATGGGAGTCTCAGTGATTAACACTGAACCCTATGGGAGTCTCAGTGATTAACACTGAACCCTATGGGAGTCTCAGTGATTAACACTGAACCCTGTGGGAGTCTCAGTGATTAACACTGAACCCTATGGGAGTCTCAGTGATTAACACTGAACCCTGTGGGTGTCTCACTGATTAACACTGAACCCTGTGGGAGTCTCAGTGATTAACACTGAACCCTATGGGAGTCTCAGTGATTAACACTGAACCCTGTGGGAGTCTCAGTGATTAACACTGAACCTTGTGGGAGTCTCAGTGATTAACACTGAACCCTATGGGAGTCTCAGTGATTAACACTGAACCCTATGGGAGTGAGTCTCAGTGATTAACACTGAACCCTATGGGAGTCTCAGTGATTAACACTGAACCCTATGGGAGTCTCAGTGATTAACACTGAACCCTGTGGGAGTCTCAGTGATTAACACTGAACCCTGTGGGAGTCTCAGTGATTAACACTGAACCCTGTGGGAGTCTCAGTGATTAACATGGAGCCCTATGGGAGTCTCAGTGATTAACACTGAACCCTGTGGGAGTCTCAGTGATTAACATGGAGCCCTATGGGAGTCTCAGTGATTAACACTGAACCCTGTGGGAGTCTCAGTGATTAACATGGAGCCCTGTGGGAGTCTCAGTGATTAACACTGAACCCTATGGGGGTCTCAGTGATTAACATTGAACCCTATGGGAGTCTCAGTGATTAACACTGAACCCTATGGGAGTCTCAGTGATTAACACTGAACCCTGTGGGAGTCTCAGTGATTAACACTGAACCCTATGGGAGTGAGTCTCAGTGATTAAAACTGAACCCTGTGGGAGTCTCAGTGATTAACACTGAACCCTATGGGAGGCTCAGTGATTAACACTGAACCCTGTGGGAGTCTCAGTGATTAACACTGAACCCTATGGGAGTCTCAGTGATTAACACTGAACCCTGTGGGAGTCTCAGTGATTAACACTGAACCCTGTGGGAGTCTCAGTGATTAACACTGAACCCTGTGGGAGTCTCAGTGATTAACACTGAACCCTATGGGAGTCTCAGTGATTAACACTGAACCCTGTGGGAGTCTCAGTGATTAACATTTAACCCTATGGGAGTCTCAGTGATTAACACTGAACCCTGTGGGAGTCTCAGTGATTAACACTGAACCCTGTGGGAGTCTCAGTGATTAACACTGAACCCTATGGGAGTCTCAGTGATTAACACTGAACGCTATGGGAGTCTCAGTGATTAACACTGAACCCTGTGGGAGTCTCAGTGATTAACACTGAACCCTATGGGAGTCTCAGTGATTAACACTGAACCCTATGGGAGTCTCAGTGATTAACACTGAACCCTGTGGGAGTCTCAGTGATTAACATTGAACCCTATGGGAGTCTCAGTGATTAACACTGAACCCTGTGGGAGTCTCAGTGATTAACACTGAACCCTGTGGGAGTATCAGTGATTAACACTGAACCCTATGGGAGTCTCAGTGATTAACACTGAACCCTATGGGAGTCTCAGTGATTAACACTGAACCCTGTGGGAGTCTCAGTGATTAACATTGAACCCTGTGGGAGTCTCAGTGATTAACACTGAACCCTGTGGGAGTCTCAGTGATTAACACTGAACCCTATGGGAGTTTCAGTGATTAACACTGAACCCTGTGGGAGTCTCAGTGATTAACACTGAACCCTGTGGGAGTCTCAGTGATTAACACTGAACCCTGTGGGAGTCTCAGTGATTAACACTGAACCCTATGGGAGTTTCAGTGATTAACACTGAACCCTGTGGGAGTCTCAGTGATTAACACTGAACCCTATGGGAGTTTCAGTGATTAACACTGAACCCTGTGGGAGTCTCAGTGATTAACACTGAACCCTATGGGAGTCTCAGTGATTAACACTGAACCCTATGGGAGTCTCAATAATTAACACTGAACCCTGTGGCAGTCTCAGTGATTAACACTGAACCCTATGGGAGTCTCAGTGATTAACATGGAGCCCTATGGGAGTCTCAGTGATTAACACTGAACCCTGTGGGAGTGAGTCTCAGTGATTAACACTGAACCCTGTGGGAGTCTCAGTGATTAACACTGAACCCTGTGGGAGTCTCAGTGATTAACATGGAGCCCTATGGGAGTCTCAGTGATTAACACTGAACCCTATGGGAGTCTCAGTGATTAACACTGAACCCTGTGGGAGTCTCAGTGATTAACATTGAACCCTATGGGAGTCTCAGTGATTAACACTGAACCCTGTGGGAGTCTCAGTGATTAACACTGAACCCTGTGGGAGTATCAGTGATTAACACTGAACCCTATGGGAGTCTCAGTGATTAACACTGAACCCTATGGGAGTCTCAGTGATTAACACTGAACCCTGTGGGAGTCTCAGTGATTAACATTGAACCCTATGGGAGTCTCAGTGATTAACACTGAACCCTATGGGAGTCTCAGTGATTAACATGGAGCCCTATGGGAGTCTCAGTGATTAACACTGAACCCTATGGGAGTCTCAGTGATTAACACTGAACCCTGTGGGAGTCTCAGTGATTAACACTGAACCCTATGGGAGTCTCAGTGATTAACACCGAACCCTATGGGAGTCTCAGTGATTAACACTGAACCCTATGGGAGTCTCAGTGATTAACACTGAACCCTATGGGGGTCTCAGTGATTAACACTGAACCCTGTGGGAGTCTCAGTGATTAACACTGAACCCTGTGGGAGTCTCAGTGATTAACACTGAACCCTGTGGGAGTCTCAGTGATTAACACTGAACCCTATGGGAGTCTCAGTGATTAACACTGAACCCTGTGGGAGTCTCAGTGATTAACACTGAACCCTGTGGGAGTCTCAGTGATTAACACTGAGCCCTATGGGAGTCTCAGTGATTAACACTGAACCCTATGGGAGTCTCAATGATTAACACTGAACCCTATGGGAGTCTCAGTGATTAACACTGAACCCTGTGGGAGTCTCAGTGATTAACACTGAACCCTATGGGAGTCTCAGTGATTAACACTGAACCCTGTGGGAGTCTTAGTGATTAACACTGAACCCTATGGGAGTCTCATTGATTAACACTGAACCCTGTGGGAGTCTCAGTGATTAACACAGAACCCTATGGGAGTCTCAGGGATTAACACTGAACCCTGTGGGAGTCTCAGTGATTAACACTGAACCCTATGGGAGTCTCAGTGATTAACACTGAACCCTATGGGAGTCTCAGTGATTAACACTGAACCCTGTGGGAGTCTCAGTGATTAACACTGAACCCTGTGGGAGTCTCAGTGATTAACACTGAACCCTATGGGAGTCTCAGTGATTAACACTGAACCCTGTGGGAGTCTCAGTGATTAACATTGAACCCTATGGGAGTCTCAGTGATTAACATGGAGCCCTATGGGAGTCTCAGTGATTAACACTGAACCCTATGGGAGTCTCAGTGATTAACACTGAACCCTGTGGGAGTCTCAGTGATTAACATTGAACCCTATGGGAGTCTCAGTGATTAACATGGAGCCCTATGGGAGTCTCAGTGATTAACACTGAACCCTGTGGGAGTCTCAGTGATTAACACTGAACCCTGTGGGAGTCTCAGTGATTAACACTGAACCCTATGGGAGTCTCAGTGATTAACACTGAACCCTATGGGAGTCTCAGTGATTAACACTGAACCCTATGGGAGTCTCAGTGATTAACATGGAGCCCTATGGGAGTCTCAGTGATTAACACTGAACCCTATGGGAGTCTCAGTGATTAACACTGAACCCTATGGGAGTCTCAGTGATTAACACTGAACCCTATGGGAGTCTCAGTGATTAACACTGAACCCTATGGGAGTCTCAGTGATTAACACTGAACCCTGTGGGAGTCTCAGTGATTAACACTGAACCCTATGGGAGTCTCAGTGATTAACACTGAACCCTGTGGGAGTCTCAGTGATTAACACTGAACCCTATGGGAGTCTCAGTGATTAACACTGAACCCTATGGGAGTCTCAGTGATTAACACTGAACCCTGTGGGAGTCTCAGTGATTAACACTGAACCCTATGGGAGTCTCAGTGATTAACACTGAACCCTATGGGAGTCTCAGTGATTAACACTGAACCCTATGGGAGTCTCAGTGATTAACACTGAACCCTATGGGAGTCTCAGTGATTAACACTGAACCCTATGGGAGTCTCAGTGATTAACATGGAGCCCTATGGGAGTCTCAGTGATTAACACTGAACCCTATGGGAGTCTCAGTGATTAACACTGAACCCTATGGGAGTCTCAGTGATTAACACTGAACCCTATGGGAGTCTCAGTGATTAACATGGAGCCCTATGGGAGTCTCAGTGATTAACACTGAACCCTATGGGAGTCTCAGTGATTAACACTGAACCCTATGGGAGTCTCAGTGATTAACATGGAGCCCTATGGGAGTCTCAATCGACTCCCACAATGCACTTCTCTTCCCAGGTGCTGCCCCCTGCTCTCCACCTCTCTACCCAGGAGACGTCTCACGCTCGGGTCAGCTCCGTGGAAAATAGACGACCTTTGACCTCCGGCACACTGCTCAACGTTGCCGGCTCAGTGAGGTCAGAGGTCATCAAATGCCAGACTCATTAAGTCACTCACTCGCTCATTCACTCACTCACCCACTCACTCATCCACTCACCCACTCGCTCACTCACTCACCCACTCACTCACTCACTCACCCACTCACCCACCCACTCACTCACTCACCCACTCACTCACTCACCCACTCACCCACCCACTCACTCACCCACTCACTCACCCACTCACTCACCCACTCACTCACTCACCCACTCACTCACTCACTCACCCACTCACTCACTCACCCACTCACCCACTCACTCACTCTCTCACCCACTCACTCACTCACTCACCCACCCACTCACTCACTCATCCACTCACTCACCCACTCACCCACTCACTCATCCACTCACTCACTCACCCACTCACTCACTCACCCACTCGCTCACTCACCCACTCACTCACCCACTCACCCACTCACTCACTCACTCACCCACTCACCCACTCACTCACTCACTCACCCACTCACCCACTCACTCACTCACCCACTCACTCACCCACTCACTCACCCACTCACCCACTCACTCACTCACCCACCCACTCACTCACTCACCCACTCACCCACTCACTCACTCACTCACCCACCCACTCACCCACTCACCCACTCACCCACCCACCCACTCACCCACCCACCCACCCACTCACCCACCCACTCACCCACTCACCCACTCACTCACCCACTCACTCACCCACTCACTCATTCACTCACCCACTCACTCACCCACTCACTCACCCACTCACTCACTCACCCACCCACTCACTCACTCATCCACTCACTCACTCACTCACCCACTCACTCACCCACTCACTCACCCACCCACTCACCTACTCACCCACTCACTCACCCACTCACTCATCCACTCACTCACTCATCCACTCACCCACTCACTCACTCACTCACCCACTCACTCACCCACTCACTCACCCACCCACTCACCTACTCACCCACTCACTCACCAACTCACTCATCCACTCACTCATCCACTCACTCACTCATCCACTCACTCACTCACTCACCCACTCACTCACTCACTCACCCACTCACTCACTCATTCACTCACCCACTCACTCACCCACTCACTCACCCACCCACTCACCTACTCACCCACTCACTCACCCACTCACCCACTCACTCATCCACTCACCCACTCACTCACTCACTCACCCACTCACTCACTCGCTCACTCACTCACTCACCCACTCACTCACTCACCCACTCACTCACTCGCTCACTCACCCGCTCACTCACTCACTCACCACTCACCCACTCACTCACTCACTCACCCACTCACTCACCCACTCACTCACCCACCCACTCACCTACTCACTCACTCACCCACCCACTCACCCACTCACTCACCCACCCACTCACCCACTCACTCACTCACCCACCCACCCACTCACCCACTCACTCACTCACCCACCCACCCACCCACTCACCCACTCACTCACTCACCCATCCACCCATCCACCCACTCACTCACTCACTCATACACTCATACATTCACTCACTCACTCACTCACCCATACACTCACTCACTCACTCACCACTCACTCACTCACTCACCCACTCACCCACTCACTCACCCACCCACTCACTCACTCACCCACTCACTCACTCACTCACCCACTCACTCACTCACTCATTCACTCACCCACTCACTCACCCACTCACTCACCCACCCACTCACCTACTCACCCACTCACTCACCCACTCACTCACCCACTCACCCACTCACTCATCCACTCACCCACTCACTCACTCACTCACCCACTCACTCACTCGCTCACTCACTCACTCACCCACTCACTCACTCGCTCACTCACCCGCTCACTCACTCACTCACCACTCACCCACTCACTCACCCACTCACTCACCCACCCACTCACCTACTCACTCACTCACTCACCCACCCACCCACTCACTCACCCCCTCACTCACCCACTCACCCACTCACTCACTCACTCACCCACCCACCCACTCACTCACCCACTCACTCACCCACTCACCCACTCACTCACCCACTCACCCACTCACCCACTCACTCACTCACCCACTCACTCACCCACTCACTCACCTACACACTCACCCACCCACTCACTCACCCCCTCACTCACCCACTCACTCACTCACTCACCCACCCACCCACTCACTCACTCACTCACCCACTCACCCACTCACTCACTCACTCACCCACCCACCCACTCACTCACTCACCCACTCACCCACTCACTCACTCACTCACCCACCCACTCACCCACTCACTCACCTACCCACTCACCTACTCACTCACTCACCCACCCACTCACCCACTCACCCACTCACTCACCCACTCACCCACTCACTCACCCACTCACCCACTCACTCACTCACTCACCCACCCACTCACCCACTCACTCACCCACTCACTCACCCACTCACCACTCACCCACCCACTCACCCACTCACTCACCCACTCACCCACCCACTCAACCCACTCACTCACCCACTCACCCACTCACTCACTCACCCACTCACCCACCCACTCACCCACTCACTCACCCACTCACTCACCCACTCACCACTCACCCACCCACTCACCCACTCACTCACCCACTCACTCACCCACTCACCTACACACTCACTCACCCACTCACTCATCCACTCACCCACTCACTCACTCACCCACCCACTCACCTACACACTCACCCACCCACTCACCTATTCACTCACCCACTCACTCACTCACCCACTCACTCACTCACTCACCCACTCACTCACCCACTCACTCACCCACTCACTCACCCACTCACCCACTCACTCACCCACTCACCCACTCACTCACCCACTCACTCACTCACCCACTCACTCACTCACCCACTCACTCACTCACCCACTCACCCACTCACTCACCCACTCACCCACTCACTCACCCACTCACCCACTCACTCACTCACCCACTCACTCACTCACTCACCTACACACTCACCCACCCACTCACTCACCCCCTCACTCACCCACTCACCCACTCACTCACTCACTCACCCACCCACCCACTCACTCACTCACTCACCCACTCACCCACTCACTCACTCACTCACCCACCCACCCACTCACTCACTCACTCACCCACTCACCCACTCACTCACTCACTCACCCACCCACTCACCCACTCACTCACCTACCCACTCACCTACTCACTCACTCACCCACCCACTCACCCACTCACCCACTCACTCACCCACTCACCCACTCACTCACCCACTCACCCACTCACTCACTCACCCACCCACTCACCCACTCACTCACCCACTCACTCACCCACTCACCACTCACCCACCCACTCACCCACTCACTCACCCACTCACCCACCCACTCACCCACTCACTCACCCACTCACCCACTCACTCACTCACCCACCCACTCACCCACTCACCCACCCACTCACCCACTCACTCACCCACTCACTCACCCACTCACCACTCACCCACCCACTCACCCACTCACTCACCCACTCACTCACCCACTCACCTACACACTCACTCACCCACTCACTCATCCACTCACCCACTCACTCACTCACCCACCCACTCACCTACACACTCACCCACCCACTCACCTATTCACTCACCCACTCACCCACTCACTCACTCACTCACCCACTCACTCACCCACTCACTCACCCACTCACTCACCCACTCACCCACTCACTCACCCACTCACCCACTCACTCACCCACTCACTCACTCACCCACTCACTCACTCACCCACTCACTCACTCACCCACTCACTCACTCACCCACTCACTCACCCACCCACCCACCCACTCACCCACCCACCCTTCCTGCGTGCAGCCCGCTGCTGGTGAGTGAGGGTGAGTTTGGGCGGCTGTGGTTGACGCTCACCGCGGACGAGGCCCGAACGAGCCTGGCCTTGCCTGGGCCCCACACGGAGGCCTCCCACACCGAGGCCTCGGTCGACGCTCTCATCAGCAGCCTCAGCCTCCACCCCGTCAGTCACGTGGGTGAGGCCACCGTGAACCACACACACCCACACGTCCACCGTGAACCACACCCACACACCCACACGGTCATCGTGAACCACACACACCCACCCACCCACAAGGCCACCGTGAAGCCCACCCACCCTGAACCCCACCCACCCACCCACCGTGAACCCCACCCACCCACTCCACCCACCCACACGGTCACCGTGAACCCCACCCACCCACCCACACGGTCACCGTGAACCCCACCCACCCACCCACACGGTCACCGTGAACCCCACCCACCCACCCACACGGTCACCGTGAACCCCACCCACCCACACGGACACCGTGAACCCCACCCACTCACCCACCCTGAACCCTACCCACCCACCCCACACTCCCACCCACCCACCCACACGGTCAACGTGAACCCCACCCACCCACCCACCCACCGTGAACCCCACCCACCCACCGTGAACCCCACCCACCCACTCCACCCACCCACCCACCCACCGTGAACCCCACCCACCCACTCCACCCACCCACCGTGAACCCCACCCACCCACCCACCGTGAACCCCACCCACCCACTCCACCCACCCACCCACCGTGAACCCCACCCACCCACCGTGAACCCCACCCACCCACCCACCGTGAACCCCACCCACCCACACGGTCACCGTGAACCCCACCCACCCACCGTGAACCCCACCCACCCACTCCACCCACCCACCCACCGTGAACCCCACCCACCCACTCCACCCACCCACCGTGAACCCCACCCACCCACCGTGAACCCCACCCACCGTGAACCCCACCCACCCACCCACCCACCGTGAACCCCACCCACCCACACGGTCACCGTGAACCCCACCCACCCACAAGGTCACCGTGAACCACACCCACCCACAAGGTCACCGTGAACCACACCCACCCACCCACACTCCCACCCACCCACCCACACGGCCACCGTGAACCTGAGTCTGCTAATTCTGATGACGTTCTCCCCTCCCTCCCCCTCCCCTCCCCCCCCCCCTCCCCCCCCCCCCTCCCCCCCCCCCCTCCCCCTCCCCCCAGGCACCGAGTGGCTGTGTGCTGGCCGCTTTGTCTCTCCGGGTCCTGCCCTGGGGGCTCCGCCGCTGCTTCTCCTCGTCCACGCACGACTCCTGCCCCAGGGGCTCCTCCAGCTGTGGATCCGCACGTCCACGCGTGGCCTGGTTCAGGGCCTGGCCCAGGGCCTGGCTCAGGGCCTGGCCCAGGGCTTGGCCCAGGGCCTGGCTCAGGGCCAGGCTCAGGGCAAGACTCATGGCCAGGCTCAGGGCCAGGCTCAGGGCCAGGCTCAGGGCCTGCCTCAGGGCCAGGCTCAGGGCAAGACTCATGGCCAGGCTCAGGGCCTGGCTCAGGGCCAGGCTCAGGGACTGGCTCAGGGCCTGGCTCAGGGCCAGGCTCAGGGCCTGGCTCAGGGCCTGGCTCAGGGCCAGGCTCAGGGCCTGGCTCAGAGCCTGGCTCAGAGCCTGGCTCAGGGCCAGGCTCAGGGCCAGGCTCAGGGCCTGCCTCAGGGCCTGCCTCAGGGCCTACCTCAGGGCCTGGCTCAGGGCCTGGCTCATGGCCAGGCTCAGGGCCAGGCTCAGGGCCTGCCTCAGGGCCAGGCTCAGGGCCAGGCTCAGGGACTGGCTCAGGGCCAGCTGCCTGGGCAGCACAAGGACTCACTCACATAAGGTGCAGTGTTAATCACTGAGACTCACTCACACAGGGTTCAGTGTTAATCACTGAGACTCCCATAGGGTTCAGTGTTAATCACTGAGACTCCCATAGGGTTCAGTGTTAATTACTGAGACTCCCATAGGGCTCAGTGTTAATCACTGAGACTCCCATAGGGTTCAGTGTTAATCACTGAGACTCCCACAGGGTTCAGTGTTAATCACTGAGACTCCCACAGGGTTCAGTGTTAATCACTGAGACTCCCATAGGGTTCAGTGTTAATCACTGAGACTCCCACAGGGTTCAGTGTTAATCACTGAGACTCCCATAGGGTTCAGTGTTAATCACTGAGACTCCCACAGGGTTAAATGTTAATCACCGAGACTCCCATTGGGTTCAGTGTTAATCACTGAGACTCCCATAGGGTTCAGTGTTAATCACTGAGACTCCCACAGGGTTCAATGTTAATCACTGAGACTCCCACAGGGTTCAGTGTTAATCACTGAGACTCCCATAGGGTTCAGTGTTAATCACTGAGACTCCCATAGGGTTCAGTGTTAATCACTGAGACTTCCATAGGGTTCAGTGTTAATCACTGAGACTCCCACAGGGTTCAGAGTTAATCACTGAGACTCCCATAGGGTTCAGTGTTAATCACTGAGACTCCCACAGGGTTCAGAGTTAATCACTGAGACTCCCATAGGGTTCAGTGTTCATCACTGAGACTCCCATAGGGTTCAGTGTTAATCACTGAGACTCCCACAGGGTTCAGAGTTAATCACTGAGACTCCCATAGGGTTCAGTGTTAATCACTGAGACTCCCACAGGGTTCAGAGTTAATCACTGAGACTCCCATAGGGTTCAGTGTTCATCACTGAGACTCCCATAGGGTTCAGTGTTAATCACTGAGACTCCCATAGGGTTCAGTGTTAATCACTGAGACTTCCATAGGGTTCAGTGTTAATCACTGAGACTCCCACAGGGTTCAGAGTTAATCACTGAGACTCCCATAGGGTTCAGTGTTAATCACTGAGACTCCCACAGGGTTCAGAGTTAATCACTGAGACTCCCATAGGGTTCAGTGTTAATCACTGAGACTCCCATAGGGTTCAGTGTTAATCACTGAGACTCCCATAGGGTTCAGTGTTAATCACTGAGACTCCCATAGGGTTCAGTGTTAATCACTGAGACTCCCACAGGGTTCAATGTTAATCACTGAGACTCCCACAGGGTTCAGTGTTAATCACTGAGACTCCCATAGGGTTCAGTGTTAATCACTGAGACTCCCATAGGGTTCAGTTTTAATCACTGAGACTCCCACAGGGTTCAGTGTTAATCACTGAGACTCCCATAGGGTTCAGTGTTAATCACTGAGACTCCCATAGGGTTCAGTGTTAATCACTGAGACTCCCATAGGGTTCAGTGTTAATCACTGAGACTCCCACAGGGTTCAGTGTTAATCACTGAGACTCACTCACACAGGGTTCAATGTTAATTAGTGAGACTCACTCCCATAGGGTTCAGTGTTAATCACTGAGACTCCCACAGGGTTCAGTGTTAATCACTGAGACTCCCATAGGGTTCAGTGTTAATCACTGAGACTCCCATAGGGTTCAGTGTTAATCACTGAGACTCCCATAGGGTTCAATGTTAATCACTGAGACTCCCATAGGGTTCAGTGTTAATCACTGAGACTCCCACAGGGTTCAGTGTTAATCACTGAGACTCCCATAGGGTTCAGTGTTAATCAATGAGCCTCCCACAGGGTTCAGTGTTAATCACTGAGACTCCCATAGGGTTCAGTGTTAATCACTGAGACTCCCATAGGGTTCAGTGTTAATCACTGAGACTCCCATAGGGTTCAGTGTTAATCACTGAGACTCCCATAGGGTTCAGTGTTAATCACTGAGACTTCCATAGGGTTCAGTGTTAATCACTGAGACTCCCACAGGGTTCAGAGTTAATCACTGAGACTCCCATAGGGTTCAGTGTTAATCACTGAGACTCCCACAGGGTTCAGAGTTAATCACTGAGACTCCCATAGGGTTCAGTGTTCATCACTGAGACTCCCATAGGGTTCAGTGTTAATCACTGAGACTCCCATAGGGTTCAGTGTTAATCACTGAGACTCCCATAGGGTTCAGTGTTAATCACTGAGACTCCCATAGGGTTCAGTGTTAATCACTGAGACTCCCATAGGGTTCAGTGTTAATCACTGAGACTCCCACAGGGTTCAATGTTAATCACTGAGACTCCCATAGGGTTCAGTGTTAATCACTGAGACTCCCACAGGGTTCAGTGTTAATCACCGAGACTCCCACAGGGTTCAGTGTTAATCACCGAGACTCCCACAGGGTTCAGTGTTAATCACTGAGACTCCCATAGGGTTCAGTGTTAATCACTGAGACTCCCACAGGGTTCAGTGTTAATCACTGAGACTCACTCCCATAGGGTTCAGTGTTAATCACTGAGACTCCCACAGGGTTCAGTGTTAATCACTGAGACTCCCATAGGGTTCAGTGTTAATCACTGAGACTCCCACAGGGTTCAGTGTTAATCACCGAGACTCCCACAGGGTTCAGTGTTAATCACTGAGACTCCCATAGGGTTCAGTGTTAATCACTGAGACTCCCACAGGGTTCAGTGTTAATCACTGAGACTCACTCCCATAGGGTTCAGTGTTAATCACTGAGACTCCCACAGGGTTCAGTGTTAATCACTGAAACTCACTCACATAGGGTTCAGTGTTAATCACTGAGACTCCCATAGGGTTCAGTGTTAATCACTGAGACTCCCACAGGGTTCAGTGTTAATCAGTGAGACTCACTCCCATAGGGTTCAGTGTTAATCACTGAGACTCCCACAGGGTTCAGTGTTAATCACTGAGACTCCCATAGGGTTCAGTGTTAATCACTGAGACTCCCACAGGGTTCAGTGTTAATCACTGAGACTCCCATAGGGTTAAATGTTAATCACTGAGACTCCCATAGGGTTCAGTGTTAATCACTGAGACTCCCATAGGGTTCAGTGTTAATCACTGAGACTCCCATAGGGTTAAATGTTAATCACTGAGACTCCCACAGGGTTCAGTGTTAATCACTGAGACTCCCATAGGGTTCAGTGTTAATCACTGAGACTCCCATAGGGTTCAGTGTTAATCACTGAGACTCCCATAGGGTTCAGTGTTAATCACTGAGACTCCCACAGGGTTCAGTGTTAATCACTGAGACTCCCACAGGGTTCAGTGTTAATCACTGAGACTCACTCACACAGGGTTCAATGTTAATTAGTGAGACTCACTCCCATAGGGTTCAGTGTTAATCACTGAGACTCCCACAGGGTTCAGTGTTAATCACTGAGACTCCCATAGGGTTCAGTGTTAATCACTGAGACTCCCATAGGGTTCAGTGTTAATCACTGAGACTCCCATAGGGTTCAATGTTAATCACTGAGACTCCCATAGGGTTCAGTGTTAATCACTGAGACTCCCACAGGGTTCAGTGTTAATCACTGAGACTCCCATAGGGTTCAGTGTTAATCAATGAGCCTCCCACAGGGTTCAGTGTTAATCACTGAGACTCCCATAGGGTTCAGTGTTAATCACTGAGACTCCCATAGGGTTCAGTGTTAATCACTGAGACTCCCATAGGGTTCAGTGTTAATCACTGAGACTCCCATAGGGTTAAATGTTAATCACTGAGACTCCCATAGGGTTCAGTGTTAATCACTGAGACTCCCATAGGGTTCAGTGTTAATCACTGAGACTTCCATAGGGTTCAGTGTTAATCACTGAGACTCCCACAGGGTTCAGAGTTAATCACTGAGACTCCCATAGGGTTCAGTGTTAATCACTGAGACTCCCACAGGGTTCCGAGTTAATCACTGAGACTCCCATAGGGTTCAGTGTTCATCACTGAGACTCCCATAGGGTTCAGTGTTAATCACTGAGACTCCCATAGGGTTCAGTGTTAATCACTGAGACTCCCATAGGGTTCAGTGTTAATCACTGAGACTCCCATAGGGTTCAGTGTTAATCACTGAGACTCCCATAGGGTTCAGTGTTAATCACTGAGACTCCCACAGGGTTCAGTGTTAATCACTGAGACTCCCATAGGGTTCAGTGTTAATCACTGAGACTCCCACAGGGTTCAGTGTTAATCACCGAGACTCCCACAGGGTTCAGTGTTAATCACTGAGACTCCCATAGGGTTCAGTGTTAATCACTGAGACTCCCACAGGGTTCAGTGTTAATCACTGAGACTCACTCCCATAGGGTTCAGTGTTAATCACTGAGACTCCCACAGGGTTCAGTGTTAATCAGTGAGACTCACTCCCATAGGGTTCAGTGTTAATCACTGAGACTCCCACAGGGTTCAGTGTTAATCACTGAGACTCCCATAGGGTTCAGTGTTAATCACTGAGACTCCCACAGGGTTCAGTGTTAATCACCGAGACTCCCACAGGGTTCAGTGTTAATCACTGAGACTCCCATAGGGTTCAGTGTTAATCACTGAGACTCCCACAGGGTTCAGTGTTAATCACTGAGACTCACTCCCATAGGGTTCAGTGTTAATCACTGAGACTCCCACAGGGTTCAGTGTTAATCACTGAAACTCACTCACATAGGGTTCAGTGTTAATCACTGAGACTCCCATAGGGTTCAGTGTTAATCACTGAGACTCCCACAGGGTTCAGTGTTAATCAGTGAGACTCACTCCCATAGGGTTCAGTGTTAATCACTGAGACTCCCACAGGGTTCAGTGTTAATCACTGAGACTCCCATATGGTTCAATGTTAATCACTGAGACTCCCACAGGGTTCAGTGTTAATCACTGAGACTCACTCACACAGGGTTCAATGTTAATTAGTGAGACTCACTCCCATAGGGTTCAGTGTTAATCACTGAGACTCCCACAGGGTTCAGTGTTAATCACTGAGACTCCCATAGGGTTCAGTGTTAATCACTGAGACTCCCATAGGGTTCAGTGTTAATCACTGAGACTCCCATAGGGTTCAATGTTAATCACTGAGACTCCCATAGGGTTCAGTGTTAATCACTGAGACTCCCACAGGGTTCAGTGTTAATCACTGAGACTCCCATAGGGTTCAGTGTTAATCAATGAGCCTCCCACAGGGTTCAGTGTTAATCACTGAGACTCCCATAGGGTTCAGTGTTAATCACTGAGACTCCCATAGGGTTCAGTGTTAATCACTGAGACTCCCATAGGGTTCAGTGTTAATCACTGAGACTCCCATAGGGTTAAATGTTAATCACTGAGACTCCCATAGGGTTCAGTGTTAATCACTGAGACTCCCATAGGGTTCAGTGTTAATCAGTGAGACTTCCATAGGGTTCAGTGTTAATCACTGAGACTCCCACAGGGTTCAGAGTTAATCACTGAGACTCCCATAGGGTTCAGTGTTAATCACTGAGACTCCCACAGGGTTCCGAGTTAATCACTGAGACTCCCATAGGGTTCAGTGTTCATCACTGAGACTCCCATAGGGTTCAGTGTTAATCACTGAGACTCCCATAGGGTTCAGTGTTAATCACTGAGACTCCCATAGGGTTCAGTGTTAATCACTGAGACTCCCATAGGGTTCAGTGTTAATCACTGAGACTCCCATAGGGTTCAGTGTTAATCACTGAGACTCCCACAGGGTTCAGTGTTAATCACTGAGACTCCCATAGGGTTCAGTGTTAATCACTGAGACTCCCACAGGGTTCAGTGTTAATCACCGAGACTCCCACAGGGTTCAGTGTTAATCACTGAGACTCCCACAGGGTTCAGTGTTAATCACTGAAACTCACTCACATAGGGTTCAGTGTTAATCACTGAGACTCCCATAGGGTTCAGTGTTAATCACTGAGACTCCCACAGGGTTCAGTGTTAATCAGTGAGACTCACTCCCATAGGGTTCAGTGTTAATCACTGAGACTCCCACAGGGTTCAGTGTTAATCACTGAGACTCCCATAGGGTTCAGTGTTAATCACTGAGACTCCCACAGGGTTCAGTGTTAATCACTGAGACTCCCATAGGGTTAAATGTTAATCACTGAGACTCCCATAGGGTTCAGTGTTAATCACTGAGACTCCCATAGGGTTCAGTGTTAATCACTGAGACTCCCATAGGGTTAAATGTTAATCACTGAGACTCCCACAGGGTTCAGTGTTAATCACTGAGACTCCCATAGGGTTCAGTGTTAATCACTGAGACTCCCATAGGGTTCAGTGTTAATCACTGAGACTCCCATAGGGTTCAGTGTTAATCACTGAGACTCCCACAGGGTTCAGTGTTAATCACTGAGACTCCCACAGGGTTCAGTGTTAATCACTGAGACTCCCACAGGGTTCAGTGTTAATCACTGAGACTCCCATAGGGTTCAGTGTTAATCACTGAGACTCCCACAGGGTTCAGTGTTAATCACTGAGACTCACTCACACAGGGTTCAATGTTAATTAGTGAGACTCACTCCCATAGGGTTCAGTGTTAATCACTGAGACTCCCACAGGGTTCAGTGTTAATCACTGAGACTCCCATAGGGTTCAGTGTTAATCACTGAGACTCCCATAGGGTTCAGTGTTAATCACTGAGACTCCCATAGGGTTCAGTGTTAATCACTGAGACTCCCACAGGGTTCAGTGTTAATCACTGAGACTCCCATAGGGTTCAGTGTTAATCACTGAGACTCCCATAGGGTTCAGTGTTAATCACTGAGACTCCCATAGGGTTCAGTGTTAATCACTGAGACTCCCACAGGGTTCAGTGTTAATCACTGAGACTCACTCACACAGGGTTCAATGTTAATTAGTGAGACTCACTCCCATAGGGTTCAGTGTTAATCACTGAGACTCCCACAGGGTTCAGTGTTAATCACTGAGACTCCCATAGGGTTCAGTGTTAATCACTGAGACTCCCATAGGGTTCAGTGTTAATCACTGAGACTCCCATAGGGTTCAATGTTAATCACTGAGACTCCCATAGGGTTCAGTGTTAATCACTGAGACTCCCACAGGGTACAGTGTTAATCACTGAGACTCCCATAGGGTTCAGTGTTAATTAATGAGCCTCCCACAGGGTTCAGTGTTAATCACTGAGACTCCCATAGGGTTCAGTGTTAATCACTGAGACTCCCATAGGGTTCAGTGTTAATCACTGAGACTCCCATAGGGTTCAGTGTTAATCACTGAGACTCCCATAGGGTTAAATGTTAATCACTGAGACTCCCATAGGGTTCAGTGTTAATCACTGAGACTCCCATAGGGTTCAGTGTTAATCACTGAGACTTCCATAGGGTTCAGTGTTAATCACTGAGACTCCCACAGGGTTCAGAGTTAATCACTGAGACTCCCATAGGGTTCAGTGTTAATCACTGAGACTCCCACAGGGTTCAGAGTTAATCACTGAGACTCCCATAGGGTTCAGTGTTCATCACTGAGACTCCCATAGGGTTCAGTGTTAATCACTGAGACTCCCATAGGGTTCAGTGTTAATCACTGAGACTCCCATAGGGTTCAGTGTTAATCACTGAGACTCCCATAGGGTTCAGTGTTAATCACTGAGACTCCCATAGGGTTCAGTGTTAATCACTGAGACTCCCATAGGGTTCAGTGTTAATCAATGGACCTCACAGAGGCAGACTGAGTAGTCATCCCAGCCAGTCAACACACAGGAATGTTGTAAAATATCATTTAATTATTTTATTACACACAAGGTTACACAAACGTCTGTGTGTCTGTGTCTCTGTGTGTCTGTGTGTGTGTGTCTGTGTGTGTGTGTCTGTGTGTCACTGTGTGTGTGTCTGTGTGTCACTGTGTGTTTGTGTGTGTGTCACTGTGTGTGTCTGTGTGTGTGTGTCTGTCTGTGTGTGTCTGTGTGTGTGTCTGTGTGTGTGTGTCTGTGTGTGTGTGTCTGTGTGTGTGTGTCTGTGTGTGTGTGTCTGTGTGTGTGTGTCACTGTGTGTGTCACTGTGTGTGTGTGTCACTGTGTGTGTGTGTCACTGTGTGTGTGTGTCTGTGTGTGTCTGTGTGTGTGTCTGTGTGTGTCTGTGTGTGTGTCTGTGTGTGTGTGTCTGTGTGTGTGTCTGTGTGTGTTTGTGTGTGTGTCACTGTATGTGTCTGTGTGTGTGTGTCACTGTGTGTGTGTGTCACTGTGTGTGTGTGTCACTGTGTGTGTGTGTCACTGTGTGTGTGTCTGTGTGTGTGTGTCTGTGTGTGTGTGTGTCTGTGTGTGTGTGTGTGTGTCTGTGTGTGTGTGTCTGTGTGTGTCTGTGTGTGTGTGTCTGTGTGTGTCTGTGTGTGTGTGTGTGTCTGTGTGTCTGTGTGTGTGTGTGTCTGTGTGTCTGTGTGTTAATGTGAGTGTGTGTCTGTGTGTGTGTGTCAGTGTGTGTGTCAGGGTGTGTCTGCTGGGTCTGCCTCATGCACCTAGCCTGGCACAGCAGCACAACCCGTGGCACCTGGGTCTGCCCCGTGACCTCCTGCCAGCGGGCGTTCGACACTTCACGTGGTAGCCTCGAGGTGCACCTAGCCTGGCACAAGCGTCGCGTGGCAAATGGCGGCTGTTGTGGTGGTGGTGGTGTAGTTGTGGTCAGCGCTATGAACCACGGGCGGCCCGGGTTCGATTCCCGCTCACCGCCAGCTGACGATCGTCTGGAACCCGGTACCCGGGACTCCCCTAGGTCGACTCGGCCTCAAGTGAAGTAGCGTTGCAGTGCGGTGAACATCGCGGGCACTGGGGGAGAGACAAAGGCGGCCGGGCGTGGTGGTGCTGGTGGCTACCCCCCCTCTCTCTGTGTGTGTGTGTGTAGCCTTCATAGGTGGTGCTGCTAATCGCTGACAGCGCTTGGCCCTACTGCCCTGCTAGAGGCTACCTGGGGGAGCTTTGTCTGTGTGTCTCTAACACTGCACTTGCCCCTACAGTCTTGTCAAGGCTACTTGGGGGAGCTTTATCTCTAGTGTGGAACTGTAATAAATAAATAAATTACTTTGCATGGCAATCTCCACTGTTGAGCTCAATTTTGTGACACCCACCCACACTTCCACCCACCCACACTTCCACCCACCCACACTTCCACCCACCCACACTTCCACCCACCCTTCCATCCACCCTTCCACCCACCCACACTTCAACCCACCCACACTTCCACCAACCCACCCTTCCACCCACCCACCCTTCCACCCACCCACCCTTCCACCCACCCTTCCACCCACCCACCCACCCTTCCACCCACCCACCCTTCCACCCACCCTTCCACCCACTCTTCCACCCACCCTTCCATCCACCCACCCACCCTTCCACCCACCCTTCCACCCACCTACCCTTCCACCCACCCTTCCACCCACCCTTCCACCCACCCACCCTTCCATCCACCCACCCACCCTTCCATCCACCCACCCACCCTTCCATCCACCCACCCACCCTTCCATCCACCCACCCACCCTTCCATCCACCCACCCTTCCATCCACCCACCCTTCCACCCACCCACCCTTCCACCCACCCTTCCACCCATCCTTCCACCCACCCATCCTTCCACCCATCCACCCACCCATCCACCCACCCTTCCACCCACCCATCTACCCTTCCACCCACCCTTCCAACCACCCTTCCACCCACCCTTCCATCCCACCCATCAATCCACCCCACCCTTCCACCCTTCCACCCACTAATCCACCCACCAATCCACCCACCAATCCACCCACCTTCCACCCACCTTCCACCCACCCTTCCATCCCACCACCCCCCCCTTTACCCACCCACCCTTCCACCCACCCTTCTACCCACCCACCCTTCCACCCACCCACCCTTCCACCCACCCTTCCACCCACCCACCCTTCCACCCACCCTTCCACCCACCCTTCCACCCACCCACCCTTCCACCCACCCTTCCACCCACCCACCCTTCCACCCACCCACCCTTATACCCTTACACCCACCCTTCCATCCCACCCACCAATCCACCCCACCATTCCACCCACCAATCCACCCACCTTCCACCCACCCTTCCATCCCACCACCCACCCTTCCACCCACCAATCCACCCCACCCTTCCACCCACCAATCCACCCCACCCTTCCACCCAACCATCCACCCACCCATCCACCCACCCTTCCACCCATCCACCCACCCTTCCATCCACCCACCCTTCCACCCACCAATCCACCCACCCTTCCACCCACCCTTCCATCCCACCACCCACCCACCCTTCCATCCCACCACCCACCCTTCCACCCACCAATCAACCCCACCCTTCCACCCACCAATCCACCCACTCACCCTTCCGCCCACTCACCCTTCCACCAATCCACCCTTCCACCCACCCTTCCACCCACTCACCCTTCCGCCCACTCACCCTTCCACCAATCCACCCTTCCACCCACCCTTCCACCCACCAATCCACCCTTCCACCCACCCTTCCACCCACCACCCTTTCCACCCACCACCCTTCCACCCACCACCCTACCACCCACCCTTCCACCCACCCACCCTTCCACCCACCCACCCTTCCACCCACCCACCCTTCCACCCACCCACCCTTCCACCCACCCACCCTTATACCCTTACACCCACCCTTCCATCCCACCCACCAATCCACCCCACCCTTCCACCCACCAATCCACCCACCTTCCACCCACCCTTCCATCCCACCACCCACCCTTCCACCCACCAATCCACCCCACCCTTCCACCCACCAATCCACCCCACCCTTCCACCCAACCATCCACCCACCCATCCACCCACCCTTCCACCCATCCACCCACCCTTCCATCCACCCACCCTTCCACCCACCAATCCACCCACCCTTCCACCCACCCTTCCATCCCACCACCCACCCACCCTTCCATCCCACCACCCACCCTTCCACCCACCAATCCACCCCACCCTTCCACCCACCAATCCACCCACTCACCCTTCCGCCCACTCACCCTTCCACCAATCCACCCTTCCACCCACCCTTCCACCCACTCACCCTTCCGCCCACTCACCCTTCCACCAATCCACCCTTCCACCCACCCTTCCACCCACCAATCCACCCTTCCACCCACCCTTCCACCCACCACCCTTTCCACCCACCACCCTTCCACCCACCACCCTACCACCACCCTTCCACCCACCCACCCTTCCACCCACCCACCCTTCCACCCACCCACCCTTCCACCCACCCACCCTTCCACCCACCCCTCTTCCACCCACCCACTCTTCCACCCATCCTTCCACCCACCCTTCCATCCACCCACCCTTCTATCCACCCACCCTTCCACCAATCCACCCTTCCACCCACCCTTCCACCCTTCCACCCACCCTTCCACCCTTCCACCCACCCTTCCACCCACCAATCCACCCTTCCACCCACCCTTCCACCCACCCACCCTTCCACCCACCCACCCTTCCACCCACCCACCCTTATACCCTTACACCCACCCTTCCATCCCACCCACCAATCCACCCCACCCTTCCACCCACCAATCCACCCACCTTCCACCCACCCTTCCATCCCACCACCCACCCTTCCACCCACCAATCCACCCCACCCTTCCACCCACCAATCCACCCCACCCTTCCACCCAACCATCCACCCACCCATCCACCCACCCTTCCACCCATCCACCCACCCTTCCATCCACCCACCCTTCCACCCACCAATCCACCCACCCTTCCACCCACCCTTCCATCCCACCACCCACCCACCCTTCCATCCCACCACCCACCCTTCCACCCACCAATCCACCCCACCCTTCCACCCACCAATCCACCCACTCACCCTTCCGCCCACTCACCCTTCCACCAATCCACCCTTCCCCCCACCCTTCCCCCCACTCACCCTTCCGCCCACTCACCCTTCCACCAATCCACCCTTCCACCCACCCTTCCACCCACCAATCCACCCTTCCACCCACCCTTCCACCCACCACCCTTTCCACCCACCACCCTACCACCCACCCCCCCACCACCCCACCCTTCCACCCACCCACCCTTCCACCCACCCACCCTTCCACCCACCCACCCTTCCACCCACCCACCCTTCCACCCACCCACTCTTCCACCCACCCACTCTTCCACCCACCCACTCTTCCACCCACCCTTCTATCCACCCACCCTTCCACCACCCACCCTTCCATCCACCCACCCTTCCACCCATCCACCCTTCCACCCACCCTTCCACCCTTCCACCCACCCTTCCACCCTTCCACCCACCCTTCCACCCACCAATCCACCCTTCCACCCACCCTTCCACCCACCCACCCTTCCACCCACCCACCCTTCCACCCACCCACCCTTATACCCTTACACCCACCCTTCCATCCCACCCACCAATCCACCCCACCCTTCCACCCACCAATCCACCCACCTTCCACCCACCCTTCCATCCCACCACCCACCCTTCCACCCACCAATCCACCCCACCCTTCCACCCACCAATCCACCCCACCCTTCCACCCAACCATCCACCCACCCATCCACCCACCCTTCCACCCATCCACCCACCCTTCCATCCACCCACCCTTCCACCCACCAATCCACCCACCCTTCCACCCACCCTTCCATCCCACCACCCACCCACCCTTCCATCCCACCACCCACCCTTCCACCCACCAATCCACCCCACCCTTCCACCCACCAATCCACCCACTCACCCTTCCGCCCACTCACCCTTCCACCAATCCACCCTTCCACCCACCCATCACCCACTCACCCTTCCGCCCACTCACCCTTCCACCAATCCACCCCTTCCACCCACCCTTCCACCACCAATCCACCCTTCCACCCACCCTTCCACCCACCACCCTTTCCACCCACCACCCTTCCACCCTCACCACCCTACCACCCACCCTTCCACCCACCCACCCGTCCACCCACCCACCTTCCACCCACCCACCCTTCCACCCACCCACTCTTCCACCCATGCCTATCCACCCACCCTTACCATCCCACCCCCCTTCTATCCACCCACCCTTCCACCAATCCACCCTGGCCAACCCACCCTTCCACCCTTTCCACCCACCCTTCCACACACCCTTCCATCCCGTTCCACCCACCCGTCCACCCACCAATCCACCCTTCCACCCACCCTTCCCACCCACCCATCCATGCCACCCAACCCACCTCTTATACCCCGTTACACCCACCTTCCATCCCACCCACCATCCCACCCCACCCTTCCACCCACCAATCCACCCACCGTCCACCCACCCTTCCATCCCACCACCCACCCTCCACCCACCAATCCACCCCACCCTTCCACCCACCAATCCACACCCACCTTCCACCCAACCATCCACCCACCCATCCACCCACCCTTTCCACCCTATCCACCCACCTTCCATCCACCACCCTTCCACCCACCAATCCACCCACCCGGCCACCCACCCTGCCATCCCACCACCCACCCACCCTTCCATCCCACCACCCACCCTTCCACCCACCAATCACCCACCCTTCCAACCACCAATCCACCACTC